TCAAGGATGTTATTGCATTTTCTAGCCACTGATTGAATTACTCGGAGTGCTTTAAGTATGTTTTGGGTGGAAAGTATGGAAATTAACCAATTGACCTTTGTGTTGACCTTTGGGTTAAGGGAGCTTTGTGGGAAAAGCTTGCTGTGGAGAATCAAAGACTTTTATGATGCCATTTCAAATGCTCACGGACACCAAGAAACATTTCTTTTGCATGTCAAAATAAATATGCATTTGTATAGAACATGAATAAATGATGGCAAATGATTATTTGTTTTATAAAAAAAAAATATATTTTCAGGCCGTGAGTAGCTTCTGTCCTCAGATCAGATATGTCCTATAGGGATAAGCTGTCACACTGCTGGGAGCCTAATTGATGCCTCATGCTTTTGAGGAGCAATTATGGTGCCCAAATGTCAAGAGCTAATTTGTGGCTTTATAATGTGGACACATGGGCCAAGGAGAGGGCCAGATCCAGGCCCCTCTGGGAGAATCGGAATAGTTTGCTCAGCAGATGTGAGATGGTCTCCATAAAAAGTCTGGGGGTGGGGAAGAGCCTTCAGAAGATGTGAAATCTATCGCAAAGTTGCTCAAAATGACAATTGTTCGAATTTTTTATCACATTGATCTGAGCTATTTTGCTCATTATAATCTTTTTAACATACATTATTTTCACACTCTGAACTAGGCCTATTGTTTATCTGTTTGCAAAAGGCATGGTTAGAAATGGCCAGTTCCTAAATACATGATAGAAAAAGACATGCAACATTGTAAGAGGTGTTTAAAAGTCTTAAAATGCATAACCACTAGTTGGATCGTGTGAGTTGCTCCTGATGTCTCCATAGTGATGCAAACAACAGAACAAATTTAGTTACAGTTGACAGCTTGAAAGTCAAAAGTCAATATATAAAAACATCACATATTCATTGTCTACTTGAGGAGTGGTAAGACATGCAGTACAAAATGCAGCAAGGTGGTGTGCCAAAAAGGTGTGAAAGGATGTTATTAACTCTTCTGCACCTTTGATTCACTGTTGATTCATTTCTTATTTCTTCAGAGATGTTTCTTTAAAAAAAATAACCATTCTTTAACAATTTAACACCACTTTTTTTCTCAGGAACTGTTGTGAATACATCAAGGAGAGCATATGGTCAACTTTATGAAACTTTAATGTTTTTTTTTTTTTTTAAATTTTGACAGTCCAAGTTATCATTTTCTTTCATTGTATTGAAAAGAGTTAGCATTACGTTTGAAAAGACTACGATTGAAAGTTTGGTAACACTTTATTTTAAGGTGTCCTTGTTACACATGTTACATGTACTTACTATTATAATAACAATTAATTATGCATAATATTACATGCAAGTAACCCTACGCCGGACCCTAATCCTAATCCTAACCTAAGTACATATAGTTAATTAATATTACTCATTACTTAAATGTATAATTACACTGTAACAAGGACACCTTAAAATAAAACGTAACCCATATTTTATATAAAGAGCTTGATGATAATATAGTTAGTTACATTTTGCAACAATATTACAATCAAGCAGATTTGCTATATAGTATACATGTCTTAAAGTCCCCCGTAGTGAAAATTAAGTTTTTTATGTTGTCTATGTGGTGTTTTTAATATGCTTTTAGACAAACCATGTGCCAATCCATTAAT